AAGAACTGAGATACAATTTGTCGTATGGAAAACCCGTTTAAAACTATCGATAGAGTTAAAGAAGATTGGGATCTGGAACACTCATTTTTTCAGCAACTGGTGAGCGTAGAATATCATGCTTAGCATAAAAAAAAAATGATCATTGGAGTTCTGAAAAATTAGCAAAAGTTCCTTCCCTCTATGGAAACACTTTACCCTGACATCTTTCTGTTACATTAAAAAAATTCTATTTCTCACACTTCAAACCACACCACAAAATGGCTGAATGATAGTGAAATAAATATTTTAAAGTTGCCTGCATCATCCCCTGGTTTCAGCCTCACAAAGGGTTTGTGAGGAATAATGAAAAAAAAAATGAAAAAGAAAACAGAAAAGAAAATGGTTAAAGAATTAAAGGAAGATTTGTTAAAAATATGGGACGAAACTATCAACGCTCTTAACTCTCTCGTTGAATCTGTGCGAATACGACCTCAAATGATTATTAGAAGAAAGCATTTACAACTGATTTATCTGCATAATGCTGTGTAAAGATAAGAAATCTTGAAATGACTTTGAATTTGAGATTTCTATTTTTCTATTATTTTTAAATAAAGTATTTTTTTAAAATTTCAAATTCATTGTCTGTACTGTAGTTCACGCAGACCTATAGGGGATCTTCACGCTTCAGAACTTAATTTTGTAATTCGAAGAGGTTACCTCAAATATGTAAATTAATAAGAGCAGTCGATAATTAACTTACGAAATCGGACACGAGAACTTTCTTTCCCTGAATAAACATACCTTTTTTCGACAGATTCGGATTTTTGATTTCCCAAAATATAGGGCAGCAATCTGTGAAACAGGGTCCCACTATTTTGATTACAAAAGTTGTCCAATGTTTGTACCCCAAAATGTTAATTTTATTTTTTCGTCATATATCGCCATAACTCAAGGACTTTTTTAAGTGAATCGAAAAATTTTTGCATACGATTATAAAATTTGTTTTCCCTCATATAATTTCAGGCAACAAATGACTTTTAGTTAACATTTGTTATTTTTGATTATTTTATTTAATAAATAGTAAAAAAAAATTGTCAGTAAAAAATAAGCTAAATAGCAAAACAAAGTTGAATAGTAAGGTATACAATATTTTACACCATTCCAATGATTGTAGGATTATATGGCAAGATGCAAAATCTTATGAAATCGGTCGTATAGTTTCTGAAAAATGAAATTTTGAAAATAAGATTTTTTTCTTCAAAAATTCGATTTTTCAGGAGCTATTCCGCAGATTTTGTTCAAATTTTGTATTAAGCTATGTAAAATTAAATTTTCAAATTATTTAAAAAATTGTATACCTTACAATTCAAAATTTTTTTTCACAATAATTAAATAAAATGCAATAAAAAATACTGAATATTTACTCAAAGTAATTTTTTAAACTCAAAGTAATTTTTTGGAATTAGTTTCGGATAAATGAATTTGGTTGCCGTTGACCATGAAGTTGTGGTGCCTTAACCCCCCATGACCCCCTGGGGGTGGCTTTATCTTACTTTGCTTTTTTACAATTGCCTACAAAAAAAAAATTCAAATCGCAAAAAAAGTTCTCGATATATGTCACTAAATCAAAAAATAAAATACTTTGTAAATCTTTCGTCACCAAGCTATTGATTTCACAGACTGCAGCTACCCCCTTAAATTTTAGAAGGAAGCCGCACTCCGTGGAAATCTGAACTCCTTAGAAAAAGCATGTTTATTCAGAAAAAGTACGCTTTTGTTCATAACTTAATCCTGTTTTACATTTTGTGCCAATTCAAAATTGTTTCGACTGTTATTAAATAAAATAATGAAAAATAATAAATGTTCCCGAAAAGTTATTTTTTTTCCATCGAATTATCTTTTGAAAAAAGATAGTGTGATATAATTATGTGAAAATCTTTTTCAATTCGCTTAAAAAATTCTCGAGCTGTAGCGAAATACGCAAAAAGTAAAATTAACATTAAGGGGTCCAAACTTTAATTAGCATATTTGAAGTCACCCTCTCGATCAATTAGATTGAGTCCTATAACGTGAAGATCTAACAATAAGATAAAAAGTTATTCAGAGTGGTCCTCTTTTTCAAGGATTTTTTTCCAGGAAGTGGTGATAGAAATGAGAGATTTTGGCACGGCTTTTTTAATTTTAGGAAAATAAAATATCTGAATCCTGACTTGCCGTGGTTTTAAAATATGCAAAGTGTTCTTTTGAAGGCACTTTTTTAAAGGGCGGCCCGCTCTTCCTGCTCTTTGATGCGCCCTATTTGCCCTTTTAGTAAAAATAAGCCGCCATCTCATTAAAACACAACCTTTTTATTCATACTCCATTAAAAAAATAATTCATCGTTTAAACACAGTTAATTATACACAGGAAAAATTTTCTGTGTTTGTAGGTTTAATTCTGATTACTATTAAAAATATTTATTTTGTCAGAATTATTTTAAACTGGTTAAATTTTTATAAGTTTCGTGTTTTTTTTCGGAGGTATATTAATGAATTTAAGTAATTTCAAAATTATTTTTAAATACTTTTTCTTTTTTTAAAAAAAAGGTATCTTTAATGTTTATTTTCTCATAATTTTCAGCTTAAATTATAGAAGAAAGCTATCAAGTTATTTATTAATAAGAATTTTTTTTTAGTTTGCTTTTTTTGGAAGAAAAAAAATTTTTGTGCACAGTGATTGTCTTTTAGCATGCTTCATGTATTTTTATAGACTACAAATTTTTCTCTCATTTAAATAATGAGTGAAGATTAATTTTTGAACTATAACATATAAAATAGTATAAAAGGGTAATTTAGAAATTTTTATGGATCAAATTCAGTTATAGCATAACATTACATATTTTGATAAATTTTGACGATGTTAAGTGAGTGCCCTTTTCTGTGAGGAAGCGACTTGGTCTTTTTTGATTTATACGTGGAATTTTGCAACATGGTCTAAATACATAACAGAATCCGACATCTCTCGTGAAAATTTTAAATCATTATCAATGTTCTAGTTATTAACTCCATTGCTAAATACTGAAAATTATTCTTAAAAAGACATTTATAAAATTGTCTCTATGTATTCCTTAAGGAATTTTAATATATATATTTTTGTGATACCACAATGGGCATTAAATATTCCCCAGCTTTTAAAATTTCTTACATTTATTTTTTTAATCATTCTTAATCGAATCTCGATTAAATTAAACCAAGTATTTAATTTTTGTTACATTTTATAAAAAAGCATATATGAATATTTTATACTTTTCTTAACAGTCAATGTAATGGATAACTTTTTATTTCAATACAAATGTAAAACTCCTTAATTCACTGTCGCGACTAAATCGAAAACAAAATGTATTTATAACTCTTTATTTCTTACCACAAGAATGTTTCACTTACATAGTTATACCATTTCTCACCGTCTTTTTGGCGATTAGCCTTCGCCAAATTATCTTCAAATTTAATATTGATTACGGTGGGTCGGGTTTATTTTTGGCTATTTTATCTTTCGATAAATCGCAAACCTCTTCCCATGCTCCTAACTGTCAGTTGAGGACAATTTCCTTACTGATAATTTTCAATTCTTGTTGATCGGCCAACAGTTGAATTTATATCTTCACCGAAATTCTGGATGCTAAAAGAATGATTCTCTTGATTCCTTTAAAGGACTTTATTTTATAATTTTGGAATGTAGCCATGTTAATTATAATAAGATTTACATATTAAATCCTTTTTTCCTAAACGATTTTATTTATTTTTCTGCTATAAATATCTCATTTTCGTAACAAAATTCAGATGTATTTCACACGGCCAAGATTTCTACTTAAATTCTACAAAGAAACTGCATCCACTATACAGTAAAAGAATTTGGACTATACTACGGAAATTCTAGAAAATAAGAAATAAATAAAACGCGTTCCTCTGTTAAAGATATTTTTACACTACGACTATGATTGAAGTTGATCTAGTAAAAAAGTGCGGTAAAAAATCCGAGAGCAACAACCATTTTCCCAACGGATACAAATAATGTAGGAAAAGTATTTTATTTGTAAAGAAAAAAGTATTCACATTTATTATATTAAAAGTATTTACTAAATTTAACTTAAGTTATTTCTAAAATTTTTAGGATTTTCACAGAAATAATGTAATTTTTGTTTTTTGGTTTCACGTTATTTTTACCTTCTAAATAAAACAAGTTTTACAATAAAGACAAAATACATCCAAGAGGCATTGTCAATTTCAAATTCGCTGACGTATATCAATTTCATGTATTGTATGTCCCGAAAAAGACCGATGATTTGGAAAATAAATGAAATGAAAAAGGAAGATAGTAACTCACAGTCTGCTGCGTTTTGCTTAGGAAACCAAATTTACTTTAACTTTTACTTTATTATAACTAACTCTTATTATAATTGCTTTTTTTAATATCATTTCGATGCAATGTAATTATTTTAATGTTTTCACTTTAAAATTCATAATTGATGCAAAGTTTTGCTTTTTGCAGCGTTTCGTAATATTTTCATTAAAAGGAACTGCATTAGTAATATATTTCTCAAGGCACTATTTCTATAAGGGCTTTCGCTTGAAACAAACATTTTTTATTCGTACTAAGTTTCAAAATTAGTTAAAAAGTTCGCGAATCGATGGCAATGCTGACTGAAAAACTATACAATGTTTGCAAAATAATTAGTTACTGCAACGAGATTTTGTATGAAAAAAAATTTACAGGTGTTTGTGTAAATATTTCTATTGGAATGACTTGACGTAGCGTCGAAACACGTTTAACAGTTTTTCTACTTAACGAGATTGGTTGACGAACTTAGTAATTAACTCTGGAATTCGGTGAAAAGTGAACATCTTGTTTCCTAAACACCAAGTAGTATACCTGACGTGTTAATTTCCCTCAGTTTTACATTCATCGAGATTTGAAATCGTTGGTCATGTTAGGAATGTTGCTTATTAGGTGGATGCTTAATATTCTAAATAAAATCAAGAAACTTAAACAAAAGCTCTTTAAATAGAAAATTTACAAAAACATTAACATTTCTCATAAAATCTGTCCATAATTATCCATCAACTGGGAGTTTTATTAGTTTATCCAGTCGTCAAGTTGTTGTTTGCATCCACTGCGGCAGTAAGAGGTCCACGAGAAGATAAAACGCAACCAATGAGTCCACCGAAAACACTGAGGGCAGCAAGCGAACTGAGACCATCCCTCATACCACCTTCAGGAATAATAGGCAACGCAGTAACTATGACAACTCCAACTGCAACACAGGTAGCGCAAACACCCAATCGGAAGCTTCCACTGTTTTCCATGATTTGGCTGCAGACAATGTCACAAATGTACTAAAGAGAGTAAAAAATATCGGGTAAGGTTATCATTAAACAGGAAAAGGATTTTATTTCTTGCATGTTAAAGCACTGAAAGTCATCTGCCCAAATTTTCTCTTATTTATTCAGTCACTAATCATTGTTTTTAAATTATTTTTTATTCATTGAATTGAGTTCGATTGAAATTTGTGAATTTTGAGGTTGCAAGTATTTCAAAAAACTTGAACTTTGATGAATTTAAAAAAAATTTCAATTAAGCACAATTCAGTGAATAAATGGAAACAAAAAAATATTGAAAAAATATTCACGGGAAACTGGAAATTCCGGGAATATATTTCTCCAATGGAGAACATGAAGGAAGTAAAATCCTATCGAAGTAAAACTGGTTGCAGCAATTAGTGAGAAAAGGCAACAGGTTACAGGAATTAGCGTGAAAAGGCAACAAGTTACAGGAATTAGCGTGAAAAGGCAACAAGTTACATGAATTAGCGTGAAAAGGCAACAGGTTACAGGAATTAGCGTGAAAAGGCAACAGGTTACAGGAATTAGCGTGAAAAGGCAACAGGCTACAGGAATTAGCGTGAAAAGACAACAGGTTACAGGAATTAGCTTGAAAAGACAACAGGTTACAGGAATTAGCGTGAAAAGGCAACAGGTTACAGGAATTAGCGTGAAAAGGCAGCAGGTTACAGGAATTAGCGTGAAAAGGCAGCAGGTTACGGGAATCAAAGTGGAAATTTAATTGGTTACAAGAACAATCCCACATATAGCACCTTTTTGAAAATTCCTGTTTTTCAAAATCTGTGGTTTAATTAATTCAGTAAATGTTAAAAAATCTACATGTAAGTCAGGAACATCTAGAAAAACTATCTAGGAATATGATCGCAAACGTGGTGTATATGCTCTCATGATCGCAACACCAGACAAGATCACAGAAAAGATAATTTATGGACAAAGACGTTACAAAGAGTTTACAAATTATAAAAAAGTCTTCAAATCATAAAAAAAAGTTTAAAGCCAGGTAAAGTTGCGATCTGCAGCATTAATATCCAACTCTATCGCTAAGGCAACACATTGATTTGCTGGGCACATTTGCAAGAATGTAATGCGTCGAGTTTGCCACCCTTTATTAACTATATGGTTCTTTCTTGTTCCGTTTCTGACATACATGTAGAATTTTGAGCAACAGTTTTAAATCACTATAAAAAGCATTAATTTCTATAAAAGAATTTCCCCCTTATTACCTTATAGTTTCTGTCACTTTAACACGGTCTGGAGTTGATATTTTCCCAGCTTCCAAAAATATTACTTAAAGCTTCTGAAGTTCTGTTTTTTTTCCAGCGTTTTTGTGATAAATAGAAGAGTTAAGAAATAACTAATTGTTTCATTGCCAGACTGCGAATTTCAAGGAACAAGGTGTTTCATTGCCAGACTACGAATTTCAAGGAACAAGGTTCGAGTAAGAAGAATGGCGAATCAGAAATCGCAAGTTCGGAAAACCATTGGAAGAGGGAGAAAGACTAAATTCAGAAGTAGAAATTTAAGGTTTTAAGCTAAGCTCTGTAAAAAGGGTGTTTTTTTTTCTTGCTTTTCTGAACTTTATTTCTTTATTTAGAAGTTTATTTCGAATATTTAAAATAATTCAAAGATAAATTTACATATTAATTATAGGTGTAAGTTTTCTTTCACCTTTTCTTATGCAAGTGTTTTTGATTGGACATTATATGCTTGTATCATATTTAGACAGATCCAGATTAGATACATATTAATTTTCAGGATTTGCGGTAATCGTAGTCGAATGTTTGTTTTCATCAAAATATACATTGAATATATTTTGCATATTGAAAAGCCCGAAGAAGACAAGACTAAAAGTGCAGCAAACAAACTCAGAATTGGCACTTTCTGCCCATTTAAAAAACGCAGGAAGACAAAATACGTATGAGACTACTGCAACAGGGCTATTTGTGGAGAGCACACTTTGCATCTGACAAAGAGTGCAAACGATAATTTTAACCTTATTTCTATTTTTTAATTGAAAGATTATAATTCTTTTTGTATGCTACGCTAGTTTGTTTGAAATAAAGAAAATATACTTGTTTCTAAATCGTAGTCTATTAGTCTAGTGATTATTTTACAGATTAATATTGAAAAGTATCTAGTGTTACAGTGATAACGGACAGCGAAGGACAACAAGTAAAAGCGAAAAAAGTTGGAATTTTCTCAACATGTCGGTATATGCCATTCAGTTTTGTGCACGATTTCGTAGTGTTGATTAGTACTAATTTATTGATTTAGTTCTTTTTTTACCTTGTACGTAAATTCAGTTAGTAATATAAATACAGATAACATGCATGCAGTTACTAATTTAAGAAGTAAAAAATTATGCAACGAAGATTATTATGGAACAATAAGAGAAGCTTCAGTAAATTTAGTTCATGTATTTAATGAATTCATAAAATATTGGATTTGAGATATAACTTCACAATACGATGCAATTTTTATCCACTATTGTTTCTTAATATACAGTTACATAACCTCCAACGTTTGATGTTTAGGAGGTATATTTTTCAAACGATAGTTAATTGAAGCCGACATTTTTAAATTAGTTTTTTGAAGTAGAATTTTTTCAACGTTCAATAGCTCATATAAACATCAGCATATGTGACAATCGGAATTTTTATGTATCCGTATAAATTATTTATGTGTATTGGTGAATAAAATTCTTTCAAATCTAATTTCTCAAAATATTAGTATATTACGTCAGCTACCATTGGGAAAAACATTTTCTGAAGCTACCGAAATTCCAGAGTAGTTAGAGGATACATCACTTATGAAACATTCCTTGGTAGTAAAAAATTTCTTAGAAATTCGCTGAGTTAGAAAAGATTGAATGTAATAACTTCTTACCTGTTTTCAAAACTCAGTAGACAGGGGCTGCTAGGTTTTCAGGTGAACGAGGAGAACTTAAAATCTAAGAAACACCAAATTCCTTAACTTCGAATATTCTTTTCTTGGGTTCTTGGATTGGGTGAAGGACAGGATCTTTGCTTACAGTCACTCGAAGAAATATTTTTTCGAGTGACTGTATTCTTTTCCGAACAGTGAATTACTCATATAATACGTCATCAGATCATTCCAGTCTGATTGGGTTGATATGCTACTGACCGGAAGTCAGATTGGGCAAGTGCTTAAAATCTTTGACTATGGAACAGAAGGGCTCGTTCGTTCGTTCGTTGTAGTGGAACTGGGCGTCTAAGGCCTTACGGCCCTTTGGAACAGAAGGGCGTAATAAATAAATTACTTTTAACTATAATTATAAATAACTATTTAGTAACAGAAATATTTATTCCCCTTATACAATAATAATATGACTTTGAAATATATTATATTACATATTTGTAACATAAATCTTCAGACTCATGTACGCTTTGTTCGAAATTTGTTTGTAAGCCTTCATCAAGTTCAAAGAGGTGCCTCCTTGGTCGACCAGTCATGTTTAAGGTAGTGGATTCGAGTCCTTCCACAAACCAAGATCTGATTTTGTGATGTCCTTAACTATTAACCTCTAACTTTTGCTATTTGTTCCGAACAATGAGCCGTTAGTGTTAGTCAGGGAAACATTCCTGAGAATGATCCAAAGACATGAAATCACTTTTTTGAACATTCTTAGGGAGGATGTCTTTCTCGACGACCTGTTGTCTAACGACCTGGGAGAGAACTCGAGCACTTTGCGGGAGAACAATTTAATAAAAGCCGATACCGTGAACACTCGGTCCCTTCGCAAGCTGATCAATGTGACCACCTTCCTGTTCACTGAGAGCTGACAGTGATGTCGTTGATCTACTGGAACCGTCTTTTACGACCAGTTCATCGAGGTTCTTAGGTAATTTGTTGCACAATGAGCTATTGCCCACCCCACTGTGTACAGTGCTGACGTAAAGTATCCTCAATGGTAGTTGAATCATGGGTTGGAGTCCCCTTGTTGCCAGGCAAACAGTGGAAGGTTTTCGTGGTTTTCCTTCCCATATAACGCAAGTGCGGGTTAGTTGCATCAAAGAGTCCTCCACGAAGGCAAATTTATCCCAAAACTTGATCCAGGAGTTCCCTTGCCTTCTGTAATAGGTTCAAAATTACGAGGCTACGAAGTTGAACATTAGTAGCCGTTTTGGAGCCCTAAATTGGGTCGGTTGTTCAACGACGATTATAACGTATATAACTTTGTGCTGTCCTTCTCTCATTTGTGCTATGTCTTTAAGGGTTTACAAGATGTTTTATGAAGTGAGCATGCAAACTTGAATATACCTGCCATTGAATTAGTAGATAAATCAATAAATTAATCGAAAAATGAATTCAAAGAGCGGCTGATAAACTTGTTGCCAAGTTGAAAAACAGAAAATATTAATTAAAGAAAGACAATGCAATGTTACGTTGGGATTCGCATCCTCTACCAACAAGCTGCAGGGCGATACCTTTCACCCCAACTGCCAAAACTAAACCTCATTTAAGTTACATTAGAGTTTCAAAATGAGATATTAGTTATGGTCTCGAAAGCATCCCCAAGCATCCGAAAACATGTCTTTGCAATTTTGATCCTCTGCAGAGGTTATGGCACCCCGACCTTGGTAGCTCAATGACTTGTGTGCGAAGTGGACCACTCTTCGGTAAAGCAATTTAACGAGGGCCGCTATACCACGCTCCCTCCTACCCTTCGCAGGATGATCTAATGGGTTACCCACCCACTAACTGACCACTCTGACTGACTCTTGACGTCCCGCAGTGGACTGATCGTTAAGACACGGTTCCCAGCAGATCACCGAAGTCAAGCATCACTGATTGCTGTCAGTGTGCGGGTGGGTGACCACTTGGATCAGTCTGCGCAGGGACCGAGGGTGTGCGGTATTGGTCCTCGTTAAACTGTGCTACCGTAAAGTGCTCGACTTCGCCCTCAGGTCGTCGGGCTACCGAAGCGGGGGGTGCCATCTCCTCCGCAGAGGATCAAAATTGTGATGGCATGTCTTCGGATCATCCTCCGGGACGTTTCCCAGACCGTCGCCAATAGCCCATTGTGCAGCTCTAGTGCGACGTAAATGAACAACAGCAAAATTTGAAGCATAGATCTTCTTTATCATTATCAACTCAACTCTTCTCACCTACCTGGATGTGATGTAGAGGATAAAAGCGAGAAGTCCTCATGTGAGCTGGGATTGGATAGATCTGGGTGTTCCATATTCGTTTGTGTGCACTCCCTTGGTTTAAAAACTTCTGTAATATTTTGAAGTAAGATATGATTTATTTAATATTCAGAGTTTTTTTTAAAATTTATATTTCAATGTATTAAAAGTTGCAACCGAAATGATTCACTTTTTGGACTCAACGCTATTATGTATATTTGACGCGATTATTCCTTATCGTAACATATAATATGCAAAATTAATCAGTGATAACCGAAATAAAATGTGCAATTAATATGACTAAATTAAATAGAATAAATAAATATTTCAAATAAATAGAAAAAAGTGAGCTGTGTTGTGACTTATAAACTATGTATAATTTAAAATAAAAGCAACTATATAATATTAAGGACCGGAATAATTGAAGATGAAGGGGAAGAACTGTTTATAATTGTTACTATGTTTTGTTACAACCTTAGGATAATTCCATATTTAGATACTACTTCTAGAGTCTGTCAAACTACTTCTAGAGATTAGTCAACATTTCTGTTTCTTGGAATAACGTTGCGGTGTCTTTTTGTGTTCTTGCAAACTTGACAGATTCCAAAAGATTTACACCGGGCACATTTTACATTGTGATCTTAACAATTATAGATAGTAGAGTTCAAGTATTTTAAAAAGAGTTTCATGTTAAAAAGTCTTCATTTTTTTTAATAGGATTCTAAAAGTAAATGTAATTTAAAAATGCACAGTTTAAGTATTATAGTATAAAGAGGCTGTCCCAGGCGTCTCTAAATAAACCTGTAAATAAAACCTGCGAAAATAACATTTTATATAGAAGTAAACTTCTGAGAAACAGTTTAAAAGTTATCTACATTTCTCATGCAATGCAAAAGTTGTTTTGTTTCTTTGACTATTCGGTTCGCCGCTCGACACTGCTGGAATCTATTTACTTTACAAAAAATAAAGAGAAAAAAAATCAGATTCCCCGGAAACAAAAATTATCAAAATCACTAGGAAATTTTAAATGCTATAACCCTTTGAGTCCAGATAAATGTTAATACCTTTTTTTTCCCATTACCTGAAACAATAAACCACAAATGTTCTTAATTTAATAAAACTGACTTCATATTTTCTTGCACCATTTTCTGTATTAGCATAGAGGACTCTTAATATAAATAAGCAAATCTTTACTTATCAGTTGTAAATGTTCCTAACTGTGAAGTTACGAAAATGTCATATTAAAGTAAAATCAGTATTTCGTGTGACAACAGTCGTTGAAAGAAATTTAAAGATTATTTGATTTGCACAGAACTGAGCTCTTAATTTTAACTTTAAATTTTGGCATTTTAATGCTTTGTAAAATTACCAAATTATTAAGTAGTATAGTCTTTTAAATAGTTTTTTTTCAAAGTACTTATCGGAAATGTTGACCGTACAAAGTATTTTGATATAAATTACTTGAAGAAATAACAATTAAATTTAATTATTTAAAGGAAACTGCTTTGAGTCTCAAAGCTTTTGGAAATAACTCAAATGGTGGCTACGCAATGTTTTATTTTAAGCAAAATTTACCATTATTAGACTTTTTTTTATAGGTATAACTGGCTCTTTTATTAGTTAGGCATTTTAAAATTGCTCGAACTTTAGCTTAAAACTTTTGAAACTTCAGTTATTTATAAAGTAGCCCAAAAAAATCCTTAAATTTCCTTAATTGAGCTGATGTAAATCAGGCTATACAAATCTTGCAAAATGTTTAAGCTTTAGGTACTCGTTTCATGGTTTTAAAGATCATATAAAGTCTACTTAAATATGGAATGTAACAATAAACCTGTGAGCAGTGTCGCTCTATGTATCGTCGAATTCAACAGTTGTCAACTTTAAAGTATACTCTGAAACTTAGTTTACTAACATATGCTTGTTAGAATGTAGAAAATTTAGGAAAGTTAAACTTTTATTGCTCTATAAATCCCATAACCTACCATCAGCTGTTTTCTTATAAGTAACATTTTCCTTTCCTAAAAGAAAAATAGTTACGGATAGATAATAGTTACGTTTATAAAGGAGAATTAGTTAATAGAAAAGTGGTTACAGATAACTTATTACTCTGCGGGAAAATAATAATTGAAATGGATTTGTTACCAGTTTTTATATTCTGGGTAAGTAATTGCCCTGAAAAACGTGAGCATCTCTTTTGCAGCTAGAAGAGCCTTAATTCTAAAGTAACAGAATTTTTCTGGTCAGCTACAGTTGTGAATCTTTTTTTTTCTTTCTTTCCTAAATTCAAATATGAAAATTCTTTGTTCGAATACTCTTTCAGCAGCGAGAAGTTATGGTTTTCACTAAATTTGATCTAATACGACTTTGTGTAATTCTTGTTCTTTGCCGTAGCCTTCACGACCCCAGGACCGCAACAGGCTGTTGTAGGAATGGCGTAATTTTATCTCCAACAAATTCTGATACGTTGTTCAAAAAAAGTTATGCTTCTCATCGTTGCTAGGAAACTGAAAAAATTTAAGTCCTTCTGTGCATATATTGACTTTCCCTTGTAGTTTTACTAAGCAGTAAGATTTACCTTTTAACATAATGCTCCCTCTGTAAGTAGGAAATTGGTTTGCCTGCATAAGAAAGTTTCCTGGTTTTTCTTGTGTTTAAATTAATCTTTAAATTGGCTGGAGTAACAAAACATGAATTCTTAATGTAATTGACAAGGTAAAATGTGTTTAACTTATTGCATAAGTTTTTAAATACACTGCTAATTTTTCTAAAAGTCTAATTTGATCTAGAATGTATTTCACTCTGAATTTAGACCACTCTGATATACTTTGTTACGAAACTAAAGGGAAGAAATAAACTTAAACTTGAGTACGTTTTTACTTCTAAACACTAGAAATTTTATCACTTATGTTTTTAATATCTGTCTTTAGTTTTGTTTCATGCCTTCAATATTTTTCTAGGAAATTCGACTCTTGTAGCCGTGCGGAGAGATGAATAGATATACTATTGCTTTAATTGTTTCCGCTATACTGGGAACAATTGGAAGCGTTTTGTTTATGACTGTACCTAATGATACTGTCAAATGTGTTGGCATTGTATTGACTATTGGATGTTCCTACCTTTTTTTATTCTTCATAATCATGCATCATATAGCTAATGCACCAAAAATCACTGTTCCGGATTGGTCGCAGCAGATTTCTTCTCAAAGTCCTGTTGCATATAGGTCAGAGCAGATCTCCTCTCAAAGTTCTGTCCGGGACAGGTCACAGCAGGTTTCTCCTAAACAGAGTCCTGTTCATCATAGGTCACAGCCGGTGTCTGCTCAACAAAGTTCCGTTAGGGATAGGTCACAGCAGGTTTCTCCTCAACAAAGTCCTGTTCAGGATAGGTCACAATAGAATCCTATATCAACTCAAACTTGAAAACGCTGAATAAAGATCAAAGTGCAAACTATGCTGGATTGGAGTTTTAGAATATTGTATTTTGTGACTGTTTTTAAACGATTTGTTTGTACTATTTAATCAAAAGTAAAGTTCTTCTTACAATTTGCAAATCCATGACTTGTGTTTGATTTGTAAAGAGTCTTTTTGAAAATTTAGTACTCAAAAATCTTGGGAACTACTAAAGCTAAAACATGGTAAAATGCTTTCGTAAACTACTAAGTAATGTTAAAACAAAATTTTGGACAAGTTTATAATTTTTTTTATGATAGTAATTATAAACTCTGTTAATTTGAAATCTTCGTTTTCTTTGATTAGAGAATGCCTAAAATTAAACTAATTTTCACTAAAGTGATTAACAAATTTTAGAATATCAAAGAATCTGGATATCTCAGTTTTGAATGACTACCTTCAGATCCCTTGAGTTTTCTTTTTTAAAAAAAGTTTACTTAAAATTTGTTTTAATACAAAAATTAATCTAGTGATTAATTCTTTTCTATTTGCCCCATCTTTGAAATTGAAAGGTATGATATTTCTCTAATAAGTAGTTAACTGCACTAAGCTGATATATTATCTTAGTCTGTAGTGCTATATAACTTTAGTCAATTTAATTGCTTTATTCGGTAACTTTTACAAGTAAGCATTGAATATCACTCGGCTCAGTGGTTTCTTTAAATTATTTGTAATTGGTTTTCTGTAGCGAAAAACTGTTTTTAGGTCCTTTAATAGAAAATTAAATTATTGAAAATTTAGCGATTCAAATCTGGGAAATTTTTAATCTATAAAATTAATCCTATAGAAATCTTTCACGAACATAAATAAAACTTTAGAATTACCTTGATATTGTAACTGTTATCAGAAATTTATTATATTCTTGTACCTTGATATCTTAATCTAAGTGCATCAATTTTTATCTTATTCTCCAAACTAAAAAAATATCAAAGTTAACTTTTTTACATAAATCTTTTCTTTAGTATCTTTTCCACATAGATAATTTATGAATAACCTGAATTTTTACTACATCACAGTACAAAATTCTATAAATTCTGATTGCCTATAAAGAAAAGTTATGGTTGTTTTCCTTGTCAAAAATAAGGTTAAGAAAACTCGCTTGGCAGTTTTGAAAGTCTAGAGGGAAATTAAATGTTAAACCTGGATGTGGATTATCCATATTGCTCTTAATTGAGATTTTTACTTGCTTTTCTATCAAAATTTCATTGTGGCGAAGTTTATTTTTCTGAAAAAATTAATGAATCTAACGTCATTACTCTTCGAAAATGCATTAACGTAGGAACTTTAAATTTAAGGTCTTTTTGTTTTTTCAAAGAATAACATTATAGATAAATAAAATTCTAAAGACTAAAAACTTCGACAAAACTCAATATTTAGATAGAAACAAAACAATAGAAACAAGTTTTTTCGTAAATTATATGGTGGTAAAAAAAATTATGAAAAAAAGTTTCAAAGCTTAAGTAGTCTCACGATATAGTAGTATTAGTACTTTATTTACGTCACACGAGAGCTGCATAATGAGATAGTGGAGACAGTCTGGGAAACTACCCTCAGGATGATCCGAAGACATGCCATCACAATTTTCCTATCCTGCAGCGCAGATGGCTTTCTCACTTTAGTGGCCCGACGACCTTCGTACAAAATAGAGTACTTTACAGTGCAGCAATTTACAGAGGACCAATACCACGCACCCTCGGTCCCTTAGCAATGTGTTAAAGGTGATCGCCATTTCACTTACTAACCGTTGCCAGTGATATTTGACTTCGGCGATGATTTCACGACATAAAAATTTCACGTATTTGTCAATTCAAAAGGAAAACGGAATCGTGTTAGCCCAGTGGTTAGAAAATCGAGCTCCGGTACGGAGGGCCAGGGTTCAATACTCGACTCCGCTAAGGCCCACCAAGTACATGCGATAAGCGTGCTCTTAAAATCTGTGGAATCAAAAGTCCTGTGGTTGGTCGTTGAGCAGTACCATGGGAGCAGGGATATGAAAAAAATGTCCTTCCTCTTCAGATCTATGTTTAAATTGAGGAAATGACCTCACGAATGAGATCCTCTCTGCAGAGGATCAAAATTTTGATGGCATGTGATCGGATCACCCTCAGGGATGTTTCCAAGACTGACGTTAATAGACCATTGTGCAGCTCGAGTGAGATATTAATAAAGTACCTACCTCTAAAGGAAATCGAATTCTCTGAATAAGTCGAATGTTTGCAAACAAATGCGAGTATTTTATAACGAAGCATACTTATAAAAGCTGGTGTGGTCATAAAAAAGTAGGGCTCCTAGGCACTTATCAAGTGTTGGTGGGGATTCGAACCCTAATCCTCCTTTCTATAAAACGTTTTGCAGTACCATTTGGGCAGGGAGGCACCACAAATGCAAATATCGAGATCTTGATCTACAAACGTTCTTTAACACAATTTAGAACGAACGGTTTGGCCGAACGGTATCAGCCGACAAACGCTGTGCAAAACGCGGAGGTGGCGAGTTTGAATCCCGCTCATACCCGTATCTTCGTTCTTTCCTTCTCTGTATTGTGCTATCTGTCCTTCTATTTGACAAAGGGTAATGAGCCTAAATTGAGCACACAAACCTGCAAATGTATGAAATTCCAATAAACCAATACACTGCACTTGCAAACTTTATCATTATAAAGAACGGCGCCCTTGTAAAAGAATAATAAGGAGCTTGATTAGAACAATACGAAGTTACATTCAGGGTTATAAAGGGATTCGAACTCGCTACTTTCTCGCTATGTAGCATTTGGAGAAACGGAGATACCACTTTATCTAGGAGCCCTCTCAATTTGGTCATAAATTTATCCTAAATATAGGCTAAATTTTTTTTCAATTACGAAATTTCTCTAAAATGAACGCATGTTTGCCTTTGAGTGGTACAAACATGACATTGAGGTACAAACCCTAAACTTTCTGCCTCAGTCCGGGACATTAGTCTTTAACAAGGGCCCTTTAGTTAAATGATTGATCGATATTTGCTTATGTATAACTATGTAAGCATTTGCAATCTTTACTGATTTGGGGGATAATGATTTTAATATCTGGTCACCTTTGTCTTAAGGTGCCAGATAACCCAGTTCCACCAGGTCCTACCATATCTGGTCACCTTAGTCTTAGTCACCGAAGTCAAATAAGTTTAATAGGCTTAAAACTAAACTCAAAAGTTTTTGTAATTTATTTACGTCGCACTAGAGCTGCACAATGGCTATTGGCGACGGTTTGAGAAACATCTCTGAGGATGCTCCGAAGACATGCCCTCACAATCTTGATCCTCTGCAAAAGGGGATGACACCCCTTCTTCGGTAACCCGACGACCTACGAGCGAAGTCGAGCACTTTACGTTAGAAAAGTTCAACGAGAACCCATACCGCACACCCTCGGTCCTGCCGTAGGCTCATCAAAGTGGTCACCCATCCGCACACTGACTGCAGCCAATTATGATTGACTTTAGTGATCAGCTGGGAACCGCGTTTGAACGATCACTCTACTGCGGGACCAAACTCAAAAGTTGAAAAAGATGCAGAGGGCAAAAGCGAGGTGCATAGATCCTCTTAACCATCACCATCAAATCATATCAAAAATTGAAGAAAAAAAAATAAGGGCACTCTTTCTTTATTTGATTTCTTGAAACATCTAGTATCTGCACAGTATTTATAACTCGATGTTATTTACAGCGAAGATTTGACTTTGCTATTATATATTCTTTCTCGTTCTCTTCATATCTTCCAAACGCTTCGCTGCTAAAGCGGCTAAAGGTAAGTTTTTGAAAAGTATTTTTATGAAATTTGGGTTACATTTTCTTTTGTATATAAAAAAAATCATATTCGCGTTCAAAAGTTTTTCAGCATTCATACATTTTCTAAAGACATACGAATAAAGATAGCGTTCTGCTTTTCAAATATCATCTTAAGATCGATGTGTTTGATTTCTCAATTACTAAATTCCCTGACTTTTTACAATAATAATAAAAATAAGTTAGATTAAACAGCTCTATAATCAAGTTTAAGGTTTATAGTTATTATTGTAACTTTATAATTATGTTTTAATGAAATTAATTAGTTTAATAACTTAATTTCGAAGTATAAGTCATATCTACGTTTTATACTACGTCAAAGTATTCGCTGCATAAAAACCAGTAATTTAAATATTAACTTGTTTCACTTTTTTGTAGCAACTGCTAATTTTTGTGATTGTTGAACTTAATGATTTTATTGCGTTTGTGGTTTCAATCTTGAATACGGAACCTCCACATAATACCCTCTTCATACGTGGGCTTTACGCCTTTGGCCCAAAATTTTAATTCAACACATTTTTCTAACTCTTTTCATTATGTTGTATTAATTTAAGTTTAAATAAGTAAAAACTATCATATTTATCATTTTAATAATTTATGGTTATGAAATACATCATGAAACACCGATGTCTCTTTTTTTTCTAAAGGTAAAATCTTCCAACAATAATTTTTCAACTTTGTACTTATTTGCAGTTATTTAGATTTAAAAGAAAAATATTCATCATTGAAATTTCTTTAATTTTTTATTGATAAATATTTGAATCTGAATAAAAAAAAAAATAAAAAAAATTCAAACTACTTTTTTTTGGATTTTATATTTAGTACAAATATAATTCCGATAATCTAACAGTTTTTTTTAATAACAGTAACAAGACTTTCTTTTATAATTAAAAACCAAAATATATTTTTGCTAGTAATTAAATCGTCAGAAAAAATGACTCATCTTCGTCAAAGGGTTAAAATAAAGGCAGAAATTACGACTTAGCTTTCTTCTATGCTACGTATTTCTAACTCATAAATGTGATAAAATACATTTTTTTTAATAATTCAATTAATTTATCTTAGCCTTTTCAGTTATTTTTTATTATTGCACCAATTTTTTAAAAATTTTTTTAGTTTTTTTTCTTCATATTTTAAGACTATTTACGCCAATATGATATGTTTAGTTCCTAGAAAGATGCGTAAAATCCCTGCCTGATTTTCTAAAGGATCATGTGTGGGTGGAGGTGGTGTTCCTTACACGTCACGTAGAATTACCGAATTCATTTTCGTTTCGCGAATCATGTGGATCTACCGCTTCAGTCCTCCTATTCTATGACGAACTTTGTTTTCTTATATAAAATTTTACCTTATCGCTTCATTCATTTCTTATATAAATGCCATCAAAGATATTTTTTCTTATTTTAATCACAAAACAAAATCCTTTAGGTCAACCCAGTTTTTTAACGACTACGGAACCCTGAATGATCCGAAGGGCTGGTTCACTCCTTTGAAGAAACTCTCGCCGCGCCAATCCTCCGGTTTTCTCTAGTGATGTCACTTTGGCGCAAAGCTCGTACTTTTGCTTCAAGAACGGAGCGTTCGGCCTTACTAGCTCTAACTAATATTGGAGCATCACTTTTTACGAGATATTCTAAGACATTTGTTATTTTCTATAATGACTTTTCTCAGTTTTTGCAGTGAATTTACAAGAATTTATAACTATTATCGAAATGCCAGTTTGTGAGATTGCAACTTGCAAAAATTCTAATAGAAAAACAAAAGGAAAAAATATAATTTTCCGCGTGTTCCCTAAAGTAAATGAACAACTATGTAAAGAATGGATTCCGAAATGACACAGTTAATATAAAACAGCAATACGTTTATTCTGTCGT